CCGATGGAAAATCGATATACCAACCGTGTGTGTGTGTGTGTGTGTGTGTGTGTTGGTATCTCTGATTCCCCGGTCCGTGTGGGTCTTTTTGAATTGTTTTCGAATTATCCGGTTTCTGTGTTTACCCCAAATTTGCTCAAATCAGTTAACTCCGGAAACTTTTGTAGGTTTGAACAAATTCCTCACGGTCATCGCCGAGCACATGGACGGCAACTTGTTGCAGTCGGCTGTGCTAAATGCACGGCCTTTCATATCCTACGGGATTGGTGAAGCTTTTCTTGCACTGGCACGTTTCTATCGGTACGTTTAAGACCGACTGCACTGGAACTTTTTTGTTCTCCATATTCTGTTCGTTGCCAATTAAGAGGTTTTTTCGGTTTTCTCTATGCAGTGGGGAAAAACTGGATTGGTTCGACCGTGCTTGTATCCGTTATCACAAACTAGGTCCACTGTTACAAATTCGAGGTGAGTTAACCGTGGATTCTTTTCGGACTACTCTCATTGTAAGCATAATTTTTCCGCTATAATCCTCAATAAACCATGAGAAACGGACACCCCATTGTTTGGTGTGAAGATAATGTACGAAAGTTACTCTTGACGTCAAATTATTTTTCGCACCGAAATGAACTTCTGAAGCTAGTTTCTTTGTTTAGCCAGTTACTACCAATCCAGGAGGTGCGTTTTGTACTCATCAGCATCTGAACTACTCAGTCTGATTGTGGGTTCATATTATTTTCTCGCTTATCATTGGTAAATATTAATTACCCATTATCATTTGTTTATCAACTTCGTATGTTGTGATGACTGCACGTGATTGCTGTTCGTTGTTCACTCAGAACGATTTTAAGATTTAACCATATTATTGGACTATGTTTTCACCATATATGTCAACATTTTTCCAAGCGGACCGGAAAACATCCGGTGATGCTTTTCAATCCGATAAAAAATATGGTGACCATTGTTTCCTTGCACATCCTGTTATTTTGTTATCAGAAGAGGATGGTTTGGGTGAAAACAAAGGTTAGTGTTTGCTTCTCACCATTTACTGTATTTGACTATTCTCCTTATGAACGTGTTTACTGGTTGTTTCGCATTCCCCTATTCGTATACAGTGTTACGCATTTTTGGTGGTTTATTTCGTGTTCTTTAATATTCTAACCCTATCCGAAGCTTGATCAAGCCTTCTTCATATGACCCCAGTCCTTCTCGATAGCTTCTCGTGTTCCTGACAGATATGTATTCAATCCGGACGCTAACACCCGTAAACTGTAGGTGTTGAGTAATCCAACTCGCCTAATGAACTGCAGCTGCATAACCAACTTTTGATCGCATGTAAAATAATTCAAGCATAGTGCTTTAACGTTGTCTACTTTAACAGCTACTTCTCATGACTTCATTTCGGGTACAGTTCCGATAACCATCACACCTTTAGTTAACTCTGTTTAGATTCCTAAAACATCGACGACAGGTCAGCTGTATCTATCATATCGTTTCGTGGAAGATATGTCATTTAGCGTTGATTCACTTTTGCGTTGTTTTCAGTTCAAAGTGCACTCTTTTAGTTCAAATCACTGCTAGCGTAGAATTATCCTCAATCACTAACTGCATTCCATGTGACTAGTCAGTTCACACTGCTCACTCACAGAACGTGAATATATTTGCTGTGAGAATAGAGCCACTAGTTGTCAATGGGGTGTCGGCCAACATCTATCTTGGTTCATCTCGAACTCAGGTTTTATCCTAGATGTGTGTGTTTTGCAAGACACTTGTTCGCTTTGATGATTGGTTTGCGTGACTGTTTCCGTTAATCACCACTTTGAGCGATTTTGTAAATCATTATTGGGCATGCGCCAGTGATTGCCAGAAGCCTTAGTTAGGCACGTCATGCCCCTCAGTTGTATGGATAAACTGTTCTCGATGTTCTGTTCCACTGTTTAGAAAATTTTGCGCGGTAGTTTTTCATTTTTCTTTACTCCGCTTTCACTTTTTTGGCTATGCTTTCTCTTTTATTTTTATTTCAGGGACCTCCACCGTTAGGTCGAAGCAATCAACTGCTCGTTATGTGGATCCTAATGAAGAACTGGTGAGTGTACTACGCTGTTTTCTCGGTGTGTGTGTGGTTGAAAAGCGAATGTCAAGCGTAGCGTGTCTTGCGCGTGCAATCGACTAGTTTGAAATTGATGTCTATTGTGTATCCGAGCTATCACTTCGAGATCCGAGTAGTATGAGCCAGCT